ATAAATAAATAAATAAATAAATAAATAAATAAATAAATAAATAAATAAAACTCAACATGTACCTTCATCCATTTCCTTTACTCACTTGTTCCAGTCACGTTTAATATGGGTTTTATAAGTTCTGTGATATTTTCTGTTGATATTTTGCATTTAGCTCCTCCTTCGTAGCTTTTATTCAGTCATTTCTGGCATTTGGATTGCTCTGTATGTCGGCACGTCCAGGACTCCCTGTGACAGAGAAGCGCTTCAGTGTGCGATGATTGATGGTCACTTTCCTCAGCTGGGATCACATAGCATCAGCATGTTTCCTCACTGATTTTGAGCTATTTGACTAATTTCCCTGCAGTGCATAGCCCATCATTTTACAAACCAAGAGAGGTCTAATAGGGCTTGTTTTCACCACAACCAGCATAGGCCCTTTAAAATCAYGGTAGCATGTTGAGCTTCTCCTTTTCTGCCTTCTCCACATGACATTCCTGTAATGGCAAGGACTGTGAAAATCACCGAACAGAAAGCTTTTAGATAACAATGCATTCAATTACCAGATAAGTAAAAAAAATAATAATATAAAAATAAAAGGCAATTGAATGTTTTACCTGAGAAAAAAGTGGTTTATCACTGCTGATACTTGGTGTAACTTATTTTTTTAACTTAAATATATCTTGTTTTGTCTGCTTCTTTCTTGCCTTTTTCCTGTTTTTTTTATGTGCTTTAATACACTTTATGGTACACACTGCTCTATGGCAGGTATTTTAAAAATAACAATTTTCCTGTTGCTTTAAACTTTTAGTTGCATGATTTTGCTTCTTTGACTGTTTTGTTATGTTTTTCTCTTTTAGCTTTTTTGTTAAGTTTTAGCTTTTCTTTTGTCCATCAAATTTTAACTACATTTAAAAAAACTTTATTTATTTATTTATTTATTTATTTATTTATTTATTTATTTATTTTTGATTTACCCCCCTCTACCATTTTTTTTTATTTAGAATATGGTGATATAATACTGTTGCATGATTTGAAACTAAGGACTCCAAGTCAAATAAAACACAGTGAACTGGTTTTCAGAGAAGATCATAAAAGCTTTGAAAGTGTTTCAGGTCTTTCCAAGTTATTGTTTGAAAAAAAAAAACCAGAAAGAAAAACAGAAAGAAAAACAGAACAATGTTTTGTGGAGCTGAGCGAGCCAATGGAGGCTCAAGGACTTCATATTTTGAGTCTTGGTTTTATACCGAGCCAACACATTACTTCCCAGCCTAACTCCTACAGCTGCGTATCTGCCTTCCAGCTTTTCATTTTCTCTGTAGATCCAGCCTCCTTCCCAGCATGTCACACTGCTCAGAGCTGTGCTTAGATCTCAGTCGTTTTGGTCATTTMTTTTCTCCTGATTTCTGATGTTMTTTCAGTTCTTATAGGGTTAACAGAAGAAAAAAGATATCACCTTATTTTACCTTTATCATCCATTGCCTTTCCATTCCTTGCTTATTTCCTTTCCTTACCTGTCTGCCTCCTCTGCTATATACAGTATATCTGCAGTCATTAGTTGCTTTCGTGTGGTAYAACAAACTGTGGAATCACCCCAGCTTCACAACTTTCCACTCTTCCACCATTCCCACTCCCCAAACATCATCCTCTCTGATCCCCTAACTTCTCTTACTTATTAAAGCCAAACCTGAATATTTACGGCCTCCAAGCTCGGATGTTGTCAGAACCAAAAAAGGGATGTTTGCACTCCAAGGTTAGAACAGTGACGCAGCAGTCCTGCACAGCCTAACAGGGGACTACCAAGACTTTGCAAACCCCCATACTGAAGTGATTAGCCTTCAGGAAGCTGAACCTGACATACTGACACTAGGGCCCCCCTAACCACATCCTGCTTGGAGATCCACTGGCACCACGCGACACCTCCTCCCTTTGCTGACACCTGACTCATTGTGGCAGCCTCTGCTTGATTTACATCTTCTTGATTTGGCCTCAGAGGACGGAGGAGCAGAGGTCGTAGCAAAACATTGGAGGGAGCATAAAAATGTCTGAAAGAAAGCTGAGATCACTGAAGAACAACAGAAGGGTTAGAAGGAAAACAAAGCTCATGGCTACAGTGCCTTGTATTACTTACTTATCTTTAATGGAAAAAAAAAAAAGAAAGAAGCAGCCTGGCAGCTGCATGCCTATTAACAGCAGGCTGTACTATAGATGCTTTATTTTTGCTTGTAGAATCACATGGATCAAGGGTTTGTTAGGGTGATTGTAATTGTGTGAATGCCATTAGGCATTCACACTATTGTTTTTGTTTTTCTCTTTATTATTGTGTGAATGCCATTAGGCATTCACACTATTGTTTTTGTTTTTCTCTTTATTATTATTATTATTATTGGGTGAATGCCTTTAGGCATTCAACCTATTGCTTTTGTTTTTCTCTACATTGTAC